GTTTTGTTAAAAATGATGTACCTACCTAAATTTATTTAAAAGTTTTTATATACAAAATCAATAAAAGACGTCTGTCGCTAAATAAACACTAAACATCTGAAATAATAAAAAAAAACTCTTTTGTAGGCAATTTTACACAAAACCTAACATAACAAAATATATTGCCAAATACACGCAGACTCCACCGAAAAAAACTATACTGAAGAAAAAGAACTTTGTGCTGAAACTGTATTTAAAAAAGTGTTATTTTATTTACGAAACTTTTAAAAGTCGAACGTTTTTATGGGAGTAAAATTCGAGGCTCAGCTTTAAAAGCTATTTGCCGTAGAGCTAAGTAATTTAGTTTAATTTTGGAGTTATGCCAGTGCTGCAGTAGCTGTTTGCGTTATAACGCAACAATCTGTGTAGAAAAATAATTGAGCTGCAAGTTGAAATGCTGTTGTATTTTTCAAAGTTCATAATGTTTATTTTTAAACAAATAGGTAATATATTTTCTAGTAAATTAAATAAATAGGAAGAATGATATTTTTAAGTTAATTTAATAATGAAATGAAAATAAAATAAAAGAGTTTCGGACTTTCATTATCTTTGTTTATTTTTACTTACACAACGTTTCGGTCAAAAGTATCACTGACCGATCTCTGAGAAGCGATGAATCCATTAGCACTACATTATACAGGGTTGTTCACCACATACGACACGGAGTATTGTAGCTAAACGATTAGATTTTTACAAATTGTAAGTTTTGGGTTCGTTGAAGGACTATTAGAGCTACAAATTAAAAATATTTTTACAAGATACAGAGTGTCCCAAATAAATAAAAAATATCAAAGTTGTATTTTTTTAAATGGAACACCCTATATATTATTACATTTTTAGTTTCTACGATTAAAATAAAGGCTTCATTTCTCCGAGGGTATCAAAGTTTTTAATACTAAATATTTACTGAAGTTTATTTATTGATCAGTTATTGTATTGCAATAATAAAAACTTTACTACCTTATACAGAGTGTCTAAAAATTTATTTTAAATAATTACTAGCTTTAAACGGCAATAACTTGTTTAATTTAAATGGAACACCCTGTATATTTTATGAGAATCAGATGCACAATTTAATTGTCTATCAAATTGTATTATACCACTTCTTACCTATTCCTACAAGTTTTCGTAGAAAATGCATTTTCTTATAATTTAGACCTCATTTATCAATATACCCATGGAATATTGACATTTTAGATTGTTTTTAAAACAACAAATGTACAAACTGTACAGGCTAGTAATACCATCGTTTTTAGTAAAACGATAATATTACTAGCCCATTTGTATGCAAAAAGAAAACTATTTAAATCTTTATAAAAGAGTATACCATTAATTAAATATACCACCAGTATTTCCGCCCAAATACTAATTAACTACATACTTAATTGTGTTCGTTAATAAATTATTCTAAATAAATGTGGATTTGAATCAGAAATCAATATATTAATAAGTTATGAAATGAACGTCTCTGTTGTTATAAATAAGCATTTGTCAAAAAATTAAATATCATTTTTAAGGTGTTACTTTTTACCACACTGTCTAATACACATACATAATTCAGTTTTTTAGTATTTGGAGCAATTATTATTAATCAACGCAAACAGTCAATTAATGTAGTTTGAATACTGGAATCATATTAACTGGTCCTCCTTAACAAATATTTTAACAGTTATTTATTTATTTTTTAATGAAATAAACAAACTATATCGACTATATTAGTATCTGTACTCTTTAAAAATTTGGTACATCTTTAAAAATAATCTAAAATGTCAGTATTCCATGGGTATATTGATAAATGAGTTCTAAGTTACAAGAAAATGCATTTTCTACGGAAACTTGAAGAGATAGGTAAAAAATGGTATAATACAATTTGATAGACAATTAAATTGTGCATCTGATTCTCATAAAATATACAGGGTGTTCCATTTAAATTAAACAAGTTATTGCCGTTTAAAGCTAGTAATTATTTAAAATAAATTTTTAGACACTCTGTATAAGGTAGTAAAGTTCTTATTATTGCAACACAATAACTGATCAATAAATAAACTTCAGTAAATATTTAGTATTAAAAACTTTGATACCCTCGGGGAAATGAAGCCTTAAAATTTATACTGCAATTTCACAAAATTGAAAATATTTAAAAAACGGTAAGGTTTAAGTGTAATAAACCTTAATCAAATTTACCTTTATTTTAATCGTAGAAACTAAAAATGTAATAATATATAGGGTGTTCCATTTAAAAAAATACAACTTTGATATTTTTTTATTTATTTGGGACACTCTGTACCTTGTAAAAATATTTTCAATTGTAGCTGTAATAGTCCTCCAACAACCCAAAACTTACAATTTGTAAAAATCGAGTCGTTTAGTTACAATACTCCGTGTCGTATGTGGTGAACACACACATATACACACACACAACCCTGTATAGAAAACCCACGCATATAGGACAATATTTAAATTCTCAATCGAAAGATATTCGAAAAAATTATCAGGACTTACAACCGAAAAATGAAATATTTTCCTTTATTTAAGAAAGAACAATATTCGGATTATCACGGGGTTTTTAATAGGACACTGTCTCCTCAATCAACTCCTCGGTAGATTGAAGCTAAGAAACAACGGCAAATGCAGATTCATTGGGGAAAATAGGGGAAAAACCTGAACACCTCATCACTGAGTGCGCTGTGGGCGAGACGACAAACGTAGTAAACTTTGGTACGACTGATATCGGAGATGGAGATCTAACCTCTGTAAAACCGTCTTAGATGGTGGCTTATGTCAAAGTCGTCAGACTCTTTCATATAATCGACAATCTACATTTTCTCAGTCGAACCATTCTGAACCAAATAAGGTACAGTTAAAACATTATGTCAAAGAACAATCACTATGTGCAGCGACCAAGAATCTCTGAAAATAAACTAAGTAATATTAAAATGGATTTGCTTCAGAATGGTTAGTCTACAAAATCCATCGTCAAGATTATATCCATTTGCAGGTCTGACTCGTTGGTGCGCCAGCCTGAAGAGGATGCTCTATCTCTCTTTCTCTCTTGACGATTCCATATTTGAAAGGAACGTCGGGTTAGATCAGGCGAATAGCCAAGCAGTACAAAATTAAAACCAAATTGAAACTTAAGAACTCTAAGAAGTGTCTTAACAAAATCAAAGGAGTGCGTACGCTCACTGCAGTATATACGGGCCACTGCCGGCTGAGATCACACCTACAGAGGATGGGTCTGGTGGAAGACGCCGAATGCCGACTCTGTATGGAAGATGACGACACAATGAAGCACGTTATGTGTACCTGCCCCGCTGTGGGCAGGCCCAGGTTTGAAGTGTTTGGCAAACCCACGCTAGGGGACCTATCAGACCTAGGAGACATATCACCCTCGGACAAAACGGCTTATGTTGAAAGGCTGGGTCTTGAGGGTGAACTTTAATGCTCTTTTTCTATTAAAGAGCTTGTATAAACTGAGCCGCGATAGGCCCTTGCGGATGGTCTCACATGGGACCCACTCTTAGTGTAGCATCATCAAAACAAGAGAAAGAGTGCATCTACCAGATATCTCGCGAGTACGGTAAGTCGTATATTGGAGAGACCAAACGTCTTCTAAATGTACAACTTAAAAAACATAAAAACATAAGCAGAGAGGCAAAACAATGAAGTTGGTTATTGCAGATCATGGGAGGACATCATCAAATGATCGGATACCCGGTATGTCCACAAGGTACATTGCTGAAAAAAGCGCAAATTTAAAGAGGCCGTCTAGCAATAATAAAATCTTTAACCATCTAGGAATGGAAACTTCAACAATATGGCAACCAACCAACAATATATATAGCTTGGCTCTAGTAACTAAGGGCTGGCAAAGGTGAGTCTTGGGTCGAGATCTCCGTATATAAGAAGAGTACAATGCGTTTACAATGTACTGAACACAGAGAGAACAGTAAACATGTTGCCAAACGTACGAATTAAACAGAGAAACTGCGCACATTGCTAAGAGACGTGGAAGGGGATATAGCAGATTTGTCGCAGTCTACCGGTCGCTGGTCGACCCAATCAGTTAATCAGTACCTCTGTCAGTACTTAATGTTCTAGGAAAAGGTGTACATCATGCGTTCACCTTCACGAATTAATTGCGTCTCGTCATACTTTATTTATTTTTTTATTAAACCAAACCAAACGAGTCGTTGTAATTTTTCCTATAGCTTAAAAAAATTTAAGTACAAGTTAGAAACACTTGCATTTTTGGTAAAAATAAGTGGAATTGAGTTGGTGTTCGACAACGGTGACGCTATTAGAACTCAAAATGAATCGATATCTTAAAATCTATTAAAAATAATTGATTGTAGTTTTTTCAAAAACTTTCTTAACATTTCTGCTATATTTTCTTCGCATACAGTGAAAATCTTTATAAATAAAAAAGTTAGGCGATTACCTGAAAATTGCTATGCACTAAAATTAAATGGATGGGTTGTTTAACATTTTTGAATGGAAAAAAACAACCTTATCGAATTTTTTTTCTTATTTAAACATATTGTAAAACATCCGATATTCAAAATAAAAAAAAGTTTCAATATCTAAAGTGGTTCTTAAGTTATGGCGTGTTATATGTTAAAAAGAGTTTTTAAATTATCCCGATTACTGACGTTTTATCGTTATAAAAAAATGGATACTCTAACGATATCTTTATAATTCCATTTCAGATGCTCAGAAACATATCTAATGATTTTATCTAATTATCTTTTCGAAAAAAAAGTCGTTTAAAAATAAGCGGTTTCCGATCGTGATTTTACTTTACTTGATAGGGAAAGGCGTACCGGCAACGCCGCAACAGCACACCGTCGCATTTCTGTCACTCCGACTTAATAAGATCCCTATGCGATTTACTTCAACACATATAAGTACCGACCCAAAAGTAACAATTGCCAGCACGGTATAAGCTTAGTAGTTTTAGGATTTAGATTAGTTCACACTCGATAACAGTTTTAACCGAAACGTTGTGTAATTCAACTAAATAAAAACCATTCAAGTCCAAAATTTGTTTGGTTTGAATACTGAATAATTGTCCACCACATTCAAACTAACGATTGAGTTAAACAATTAAAAATAAACGTGAGCTTTTTCGTTATTGTTTGAGCAATTTTTCATTTATTATTTTGATTCTCTATTAATACTACAACAATATCTACGATTATGGCTTAAGAAATATGCGCTGGAAATTCACGAGGATAAGTATACAATAGACACATTTAACAAAGTCTCTTCAAGTCCAAATCGTCCGAAATCCGCAAGACTCACTTACATAAATCACACCAGAGTCATCGTAACACAATCCTCGAAATGGAGAACATCAGACAGAGGAAGAGATTCAAGTTGGAGACTCTCTTCATCCATGTGGCATTGTTTCCATGATGCTCTGTAACAAAACAAAAGTTTCTTTTAAAACTTTGAAACCCTCGAACGTATAACCAGATATTTACATATATTTGGGTATTTACATAAATTTTATTACTAAGCTGAGAATTTAAGTTTTATGAAAGTTTTACAGGTTGTAAAAAGTAGTGCTTTAGTGGGCGATACTACAGATAAAACTCGAGAGGTGCGACTCGGCCTCGCCAATCGAGGGTTTGCGTACAAATTTGTAGATACATATTATAAATAGACTTTAAATAAAGCCTATATTTTTATAGTTTAATTACATATGTATAGTTTTCAGACATTTCCCCATACTGGTAGTATGGGGAAATGTACGTGCCAAATTTCATAGTTCTAGGTCAACGGAAAACGCTTTTGCTTCTTAAAATATTTTGATTTTGAATTTATTTTGTATGAACTGTTAATAGTATTTTCAGTAATTTAATGAAAATAAAACCTTAAAGAAAGATATTATTACACTATTTGTCGACGATAATATTATATATTGAATCAGCATTTCTATCTTTAAAATGTTATGGAATAGTCGGGAAAACACTATTTGTAATAAATTAAAATAATAATTTTGAACATATAAATAATTTCTTATATCACATAAACGTGAAAAACAATGCAAGATCGCAAAAGACTTGCATACTTGGTCTTGATATTGCAGAAGTCTTGCACAAAAAATAAGACCAAGTCCAAGACCGCAAGACTAGTCCCACTCATCACTATACAGGGTGAGTCTTAAATAAAAGCAAATCTTTTCAGGGCTGGTAGATCTCGACAAAAGAAACATATTTTCTTCAAAATAACCGAGTTATTTTACTTTGAAAATTTTGAAAACGATTGGATTATTTTTTGTTTCCTCTCGTTAAATTTAATCTACTACCTAAGTTGCCATATTACCAAAAGACTTAAAACTAACTAAAAACTAAAAAAAAAAATCAAAAAAATCTAAATAATTCTGATTCTGGGGTCGAAATATACTAACCCTAAAAATATTTTCAGTGATTTAAGACTCATCCTATATAAAAATTAATTAAACGGTACTCAAAATTGCAAATTTGTATTGATTAAGAGTTTGTAGCATTTTATTTAAAATTTACACAATTTAAACAAATGTACAGAATTATTTTATTTAAACAATTCAAGTTTAAGTCCTCGCACCGAGATGGCATTATAAGTATTGTTATTATCTTTTATTTTTTCTACAAGTTTATTTCTGGCTAGTTATTTCAGTCCGGTCGAAGTTGTTCGTCACTTTATTTCTGACGGTATAGGTATATACCTCGTGCCTGTAAAGAAAAGTAAAAAAAGGCGGCAATGAATTGACATTATTTGTTGTAGTACCAGTACTAATGATAGAAAAAGAAAACAAGTTTAGATTGGAATGCTCGACTTGCCACCAAAACCTATAATTGTTTTAGGGTGGATACGTTGTACGGGGATCTGGCGCTGCTATAGCGGTTGCCAAGACTTGTCAAAGTCAGAATTTCAAAAATTATAAAATCTTTCAAAATTTAAACTGCCTTCATTGAAAAAATACCGAAAAGTGTTTAAAGGGTCAATTTTCAAAGTAATTATTGCTATCTTGTGAGTTTAATTTAAATTTTATTTACTCAAACTCGTGATAATTTTGAAAAAGTGGCATTAAAAACTTAAAAAGCTGTGTGAACTGTGATCTGCAAAAACCATCGTGGATCGTGTCATAACGTCCGCTTCCAATGTTTCATAGGTATTTCATACTTGTCGTGTTGTTGTCAAAAGAAAATAATAAATTTAAATAAATAATATTTGGTAACAAAATTCCGGAAAAATCCGAACTCCTTCGAAATTATAAAAAGCTTTGAAGAGCGTCCGTTGTAAGAATAGCGCAAAATAGTATTTACATTGTCCTTATGGGCACTTTCCAATCTAAAATTGTTTTATTTATCTATGTTACTAATCTTAGCAGGCTCGCCATTCGTGGGCCCAGAACCGACACTTAGCTAGTTTTCTTTCGTGACCGGGACAATTACTTTTTAAAAAACAACACAGAGACTTGATCAGTTTATTAATATGTTTGGTTGAACAGTACTAACAAAAAGATGAGAAAATATAAATGTAACTTATATTTATAGGCTTCTACTGCTGAGGTAGCAGTGACGTCAAAGGCGGCTGAGATCTCACCTACAGAGGACGGGACTGGTGGAAGACGCCAAATGCCGACTCTGTACTATGAAGCACGTTATGTGTACCTGCCCCGCTGGGAGCAGGACCAGGTTTGAGATGTTTGGCAAACCCATGCTAGACCTATCAGACCTAGGAGACATATCGCCCTCAGACATAACGGCCTATAATAGGAGGCTGGGTCTTGAGGGTGAACTTTGACGCTCTGGTAAATTAGAGCGTGTAGAAACTGAGCCACAATAGGCCCTCGCGGCCTCAGTGGAGGGTCCCCATGGGACCCACTCTTAGTCAATACAAATACTAATCTTAAAAAAAAATCTCTAATACAGTATTGCCAACTATTTTAATCTTTGTTGATAGCGCCGTTTTATAATATTAGTTAATAATTTTGAACAGTAATATATAAATAGTAATTTTAAATAAATAAATTAAACTTTATACTCAATATATAAATCATTTATAAATTCTCATTTATTATATAAATACTAAATAAAGATAAATAAACAAATAAATTTACACCCATATTATTAAGCTTTTTAAAACTCACCAAATAATCTATATTATAAATAACAAACGCGACAAATAAACAAATTTATACTCTCATTAGGTTTTTGCGTAATGTGCGAAAGCTAGCGTTATTATTTACATACATTCAATTATGCGAGAACAAAGTAATTATAATCGCGCGTTTAGAGCTATTAAGCGGCGCGTAATATTGAAAGATAAAGCCTCAAAACAGTCAACGCGAAACGTATTACCTGTCAAGTTTGAGGTTAGGTTTTGCGCGCTTCCCTTCTAGCGGGGCATAATAAATTTGCTGGTTGGGTACTAAATTTGACGTTTCAAAATATTACGCGCAAATCAATACTTCCAAATAAACGCGCGTTCTCAAGAGTCGATTTTAGTTGAACCGTTGACTGAAGAAATCGTCCCATTGCATTGCTGCCAAAAGTCACTAACTTACTTTTTATTACTTCCGAGAAAAATGCATCTAAAGATGAATTGCATTGCATAAAGATGTTATAGTTAGTAACTATTTTGTATTAAAATAAAACATAAATAGCCAGAAATCGTAGTTAATGACTATTGCGATCGATTCTCCGATTCAAAACGTAGTTAGTGATTGAATTTGGTTGTTCGGAAAAATGTTAGTTAGTGACTTTTGGCAGCAATAGGACGAAATAAGAAGATGAGCAACCTTATGGGCAATTTCGTGGCACAAGACCTGTCCGAGATGTAGCTCGCGTTACCGTCAGCCTGTCCGAGATTTAGTTTAGCTCTGAACCGCTGCGCAAAGATAGTCGTTTACAGCGCAGCGGATAAAGAATACTATACCGTAGTTCTTTCAGTCGACGGAATGAGTGGTTGCCGGAGACAGCGTTGCCAGAACTACTGATTAATCCATATATTTACGGATTTTGGGTACAGTACGTTAGTAATATAGATTTTCTATCATTAAACAATTTAATATAATACGCATATATGATTAAACAAAGAACGGCGTCAGACTTAGCTGAAAATGAAGATCGCTGTTATTTCATATATAAGATATTATGGTAAATGTCAATAATTCATCATTTACAAGTCAACTAAACGACTTTTTTCGATCATACGACATATTCAGTATCTATAAAAGAATCTTTATTTTTGTGGTTTATTCTATGTTTGACACGAATAAATTTAGACTAGCCCTAGACCAAGGTTATTATATTAAACAGGTTGCCTCGTAATTTGACGTTTGCCGCCATATTGCGCGTCATCGTGTGGTACTCAGCAATTTTCAGCTTGTTTACAAATAATTTTACGTTGTTTTCCTAAGGTTTTCCGTGAATTAAGTGCATTTGAGTGCATTAAAGGACAGTTTTAGTGGACATAATAGATTTTTTTTTAGTTTTAGTGTACTTGACGTATTATAGTTAATAAACTAGATAGTTTTTTTTAAATTATTTATCAAGTTTTCCTTAGAAATAGAGATCATTTCTACCTATAACAGCCTATAATGTTCAGTATTGTTTTTGCTGAGTGATGTATATGTATAATAAATTATTTCGACTAGGTTGCGATAATTTAACATGGTAAAAAGCTAAAACAACTTTTTTCGAATACAAATATTGCTTAAAAATGTTAAATGTCAGCAAAATTAGATAAAAATAAATAAAGACTTTGTAGAAGAACAATTTAACTTGTGTAATTGTTATTATTATTAAACATTTTGATAATTATTTTAAATGTCCCACTAACTGACGTAATCGCGCCAATTACTGTGATTGGTCCAAGGTTACGAGGCAACTTGTTTAATATAATAACCTTGCCCTTGACTCTCAATAGTAATTTTATAGAACTACAAATTTAGTTTTTTCCGCATCGCCAGAAAAGGCAATAAAATACAGGTTTCTAATTTATATATGAAGATGACATGACAGCCTCTATGTTGACTACCGTCTATGTCTTAGTTTTAGTCTAGTTGACAAAATATTGGTGATCCGTCAAGTTATTTTTAAATCATTAATAATTATTAAGTAGAGAGGCCACTTGTAGTAACTTATAGTAACTTTTACTATCAAAATTTCATTCGAATTACTAAAAGTACTTAGAAGAAAATTGCAATAAATCAAAAGATTATTAAGATTTTAACACATTGTAGCTATGAAACAAAGCAAAATCGGATGATGATATGAAAAATAAATTTAATTGGGAGAGGAATCTCCCCCCGAGAGATGGCTCATGTTTTTTGAAAGACCCTGTATAGTATTTTTAGCAACAGTTAAGTAGTTTCATATTTTTGTTACATTATACATAATTTATTTATTGTTAAATCAAAATAGGGCT